ATAGGTTTTTTGGTCATGAGAAAGTGTCCCCATAGCCAGATGTGGTGGCACACACTTGTAACCATAGCATTTGGGAGGCCGAGGCAAGAGGATCACTGTGAGTTTAAGGCTAAGTAATGGGCTACCTGATGAGTTCAAGGCCAACATGGGCTGAATAGTAAGATTCTGTCTCAAAAACAAAACAAAACAAAATTCAGAAGAAGGTGTCCGTCCAGTGCTTCCCCAGAGAGGTGTAGGAGGAAGAGCCCACAGCTCTTGGGGTCAGAGACCTGGATCTGAATTACAGCTCTGCCACTTTGGAACCTAGTCTCCTTGGGCCAGTCAGTTAGTTGTCTTCCCTTAATTTTTCATCCATGAAGTGGATTTTTGAGAGGTTCACAAGCTACAACCTGTATATAGAATAAAGGTGTTCACTAACTCTAAGATACTACATAAGTGTTGATTGCTAGTTTCCCGGTCAGTTGCTCTTCTCCAGACACGTCTCACCCCTAATGTGGTCTAAGGTGACCAGAGCATAGTTAGTTTTTGATAATGATGCTAATAACTGATATTTATTGATTGCTTATTCCACACACATTATCATAACTTCATCACTAAATTGCTCCGAATCTCAGTTTCCTCCTTTGTGAAATAGGAGCAACACTACTAGTACCTCAGCTCTGAGGTAGGGATGGATTAGACACAATGCCTGCCACGCGTAGTGAGCCCTTCGCAAGTGCTGTAATCATAACCATTGTGGTACCACATTTAATTCTCACTGCCCTGTGTAGTAAGTAGTACACCATCCCTATTTGATAGTTGAGGCATCTGGAGCTCAGATAAGTGACTTTCTTTAAGGACACTGGCTGAAGATTTTCAGGGTTCAAATTCAGTCTGAAGCTAGTATTTTACTTTCTGTGGACTCTCTCCTCTAATGGGATTGGCTGTGCTGTGTAGCCATCTCAGAGGTCTAATTTAGTAAGCTTGGTACCCAAGGATTCAGTTCAAGTCAGCAATAATTTAGGGCTTTTTATTCACTAAGTGCCACCATAGCTATTGAAGATGAAGATAAAGATATAAGTCATAGGAGTTCTCAGTATTACAGATTGAGCACCCTTGATCTGAAATCTAAAAATCTAGAATCCAAAATTTTTGGTCACTAAAACTATGCCAAAAATGAACAATTTGATGCCTGACTTCAGGTGACAGATCTGAGCCAAAAGGCAGGTGCACTAAATATATTATATAGGGGCCAGGTGTTTAGCTCAGTGGCACAGCACCTGCCTTGCAAGCATAAGGTCTTAAGTTTGATTCTCAGTACCCCCCAAATTATGTAAAATTACATTTAGGCTGTGTATAATAAGTATATATAAAATATAAATGAATTTCATGTTTAGACCTGGGGACCCGCTCTGAGATACTTCATTATGAAATATAAAAATATTTCAAAATCAGAAAAAAGTCCAAAATCCAAAATGCTTCTACTCTCAAACATTTCAGATAGTTACACTCAACTAACAACATTAGTCTGAGGTCCAGTAGTGGTGAACGCATGGCATGTGTGTTGTTTTACTTTTAAGACAAAAGGTGGTTAATATATGAGTTGTTTTATCCAGGGTTAATTGCAGTGTTGGTGCTTTGTGATAACTAAGTGGGTTTTGGGTTGCAGTCTGAGCACTCATCTCTAAAAGTTTCCCCATTGCTGACCTAGGCCCTCTTGTTCCCAGGTACAACCTCCCTAGTCTTCTGTGTTGTTAGGTACTAAGTGGCTTCCTCCATCTCTGCCACAGCCATGTCCTCTATTTGACCTCTCCCTGTCCTCCCAGGAAAGGGACTCAAGGTCATCCACTGCTCAGCAACTCTGACTCATGAATGCCTGAAGTCTTCACATACCAGTGTCAACCTCCTTCATCATCTGTCATGTCAGTGGCCACACATCTCTTAAGCAAGTGGTATACATTAGCTAAGGTATCACGGAGGTGAAGGACATATACCTTTTTTTTTTTGGTCTTTTTCATTTTTATTGGTACCAGGGATCGAACTCACGACTGCCTGCTTGCAAGGCAGGTGCTTATGCCGCTGAGCTAAATCCCCAGCCCCAATATACCTTGACATCAGAGCAGAGCCTGCTTCAGCCTTCAGTTGAGAGTTCCTTGAGGGCAGTGATCAAATCTCTTACTTAGATTATAATCCCTCCTCTCCCACTGGGGAAAATAATGTCTGTGCCTTCTGAAGAAGTAAGTGGAATAGCCTTGCTCAGCTGAGGAAGAACCAATGAGGGCAGCAGGCAGGATTGCAAGTGGGTGGGTAAAGCCAGAGGCTTTTAAGAACACACCGGAGGAAGGTGAAGTACAGTGCCCATTTCAATAACATTCGTTGCTTTTGAAAATATTTTTATATTTTTTCATAAACATGAGCCTCAACTAAACTAATTCTGCGTCTGCAGCCCATGCATACAAGGGGTCTGATCTATCTTTGATCATTGTAGAGCTCAACAGAGAGATTTTGTGAAAGGCTGGTGGGAATAGTATAACCAGACTGTATTCTTGTTTGCCCTTCAGACCAAGCCAGTGGTGGGAGCATTGACTGGGCCTATGATTCAGGCATCAAATACTCATTTGCCCTTGAACTGAGAGACACAGGCAGGTATGGCTTCCTCCTGCCGGCCACGCAGATCGTGCCCACAGCTGAAGAGACCTGGCTGGGCTTGAAGACCATCATGGAGCATGTGCGAGACAATCCCTATTAGGGATCTGTGGAGAAACATAAACAATTAAAATCTCTTTGGTTTAAAGCAAAGCTGGAGTGTGATTATTTCTTTCTCTAACCTGAGAGTACTATGTCTTCATACTCTGTCTCTCCTCTCATTTGTTTGTGTTTTTGTGCTGCTAGGAATCAAATCCAGGGCCTTGTGCATGCCTACAAAATGCTCTACCATGGAACTACACTCCAGTCCTCATTTCTTTAGTTTTTCCTGCCCTAAAACACAGCAAGCCACTGTCCTGTATCACTTTGTCTTTCTCTTCAATCCATCCCAAGCAGAATGTGCTGAACATTCTTTAAAGCCTTTTTATATGCTAAGTTATATATAACAAAATTTACCATTTTGGTCATTTTTAAGGGTACAGTTCAGTGCATTAAATGCATTCACAGTGTTATGGTTTCATCACCACCATCTATCTCCAGAATATTTTTAGCATCCAAAATGGAAAGAGTGTACTCATTAAATAGTGACTCCCAGTACCCTTTCTCTCCAGCCACTCATAAGCATTATTCTACTAGTTGTCTGTATGAATGTGCCTACCCTAGGTACCTCATAGAAGTGGAACCATATAGCATTTGTCCTTTGGAGTCTGGCTTATTTCAATTTAGAGTATGTATTCCCTGTTGTATCATGTGCCAGCCCCTTCATCTTGATAGAGTGGCATTGTGTTCAATAAATGCCAATTAAGGGACTATAAGGGACCAGGTGTGTATTAGGTGCATATCCTTTGGTGCTGTTGTCACATTTTGGTTTTCCATTTCTAACACTGGTTTGGGCTCAAAAAAATGGCACTTCTTCTTTGTGGCTGTTTCATTGAGTCTGGTCTCAGCTTCTACACTGTATCCCTTTAGACATTCACTTCCGTAAGGATTTCGAGTTCCTCTACATTGATGGCTTTATCTGGGAGACTTAGCTGGAAAGTAAATTTCAGCTTGAGTACAGGATTCATTGCACATCTTTTGTTGATTCCAGTCTCGGTTTGTCTTGTTTCTAACTTCAAACCTAAAGTCTGTCTTTGTGAAGAAGACGCCAGCCTCAGCAGTGGACAGAATGGGTGAAGGAATTCAGTTTAAGCACTAGCAAGACAATGACAGCCCTGAGGGAAGAAGAGGGACGCAAACCCCAGCTTCACTACTCCTGACAGAGGCTCTCTTCTGGACCATAATGTAGACTCTGCACCCTCTTTTTTGACCAAACTGGCTCCTGAATCTTGTCAAAGCCAGTCTCTGCCAAGATCCTGCTAAGTCACCCACTCCACCTTTCTAGCTGATTGAATTCCTCATCCTTCAGTGTTGATGTGTAAGTCCTTGGCCTACTTTTAGCAAGACATCTGTTAGTTAGTTTAGCAAGAATCTTAAATGTTTGATGTTTGGTGTATCCTTTCAGTAATTTTCCAGCAACTGATTCGCTCACTCTACTGTCTTTGCTCTGGATGAAGTTGAGCACAGTTAGCCTCACCTGTTGAGATTGTCATGCCTCTACTGCAATATCTTTGGGTAGCCTTTACTAGCTTAAAAGGATAGTTTTCCCATTTTGCTCCCAACTATAGCCCTGTCTTATTTTCCATACCCTTGTGAGATGTTGAAAGAGCATCATAGCTCATGGAATGCTTGTGGGAATTGGGGACCCCAGGATGACCCAATGGCACCGGAGCCCATTAGGAAGTCATGAAGATCATAAGTATCCTCCATTTATTCTTCTGAGACTTGGTAATAAGGATGCTAACTGGCAAAACCTAAGACAGTCTTATTATTACTAATTCATCAAGCCTTAAGCGTCATTCAAAACCTAAGAAAAGCTGATAATTTATTCAGGATAATGCACTCTTCCTAAACCTTTTATTGTATGTATTTCTATTAGTAGAATCAAAAAAATTAGGTCTCAGATCCATAGAGGGCCACAAACTCTCCTCAGTCTGACCTGCTCTGGTGAAATTCTCTGACAGGCCTTGTCAAGCATGTGGTCTCAGAGCTGGCTTGAGGTTGTTTTATAGTCGTCACCTTTTTTGTTTGTTTTTGTTTTAACTGTAGAGGTAACTCTATCCCAGGCTTACAATCTGACCTCTCCTATCACTGTAAATACCATCCAACACTGTGGAACTTTTTTGTTTACTCAAAAAGCAGTAGGTAGATGAGCAATATGACACCTTTGGCACAGACTTTTCAAGCCTGTGCAGCAAGTTCCTGACTTTTAAATAGAGCAGCTTAGCCTTATCACTGGAAAGGAATGGAAGAGGCAGTGGAAGGGCCAGTCTGTCACTCTGTCAGAGTTGCAAATGTGCTTGAGAATCATCTTTGCATTGTAAGGACGTGAGTCTGCATTAAGCTCCTTATAAATGCAGCTGGACTCCCACTGTGTGACTGAGATCTTTGGGACATGAAGTGGATATTGTTCTTGGGAGCCCTTATTGGGTTGGGCATCTGCCGCCAACAAAAATTTCGTGGGTGAGTTCCTTTTGGACCTATTGTTACATATTGGTTGTTTCAGCAATTTGGGAGGCAAATGGAATTGAAAGGGAATGGCTTAGGGGCTGGGGATTTCGATCCCTGGTACCGGTAAAAAGACAAAACAAACAAACAAACAAACAAAAAAAAGCAAGGGAATGGCTGGCTGTAGCTCAGGTGGTGGGGCCTTGGGAGCAGAGGACCTGAGCTCCTATCTTGCCTTTGCCCTTGTACAATTCTGGATAAGTCATTTCTCTCTGAGATCTGATTTTATTGGTAAAATCAGGCTTACTGGTCCGCAAGTCCTTCACCAGTTTCCTAATCTCTTGTTAATTCTTTCTCTTCCTTGCTCTTACTTGTAAAATCAGTTCCAATTGTCTCTTCCTTTCTTCCTTCTACATTATTAATTACTAAGAAAGATCAGACATGGCTTGTTTTTAATTTCTGCCATGCTTCAAGGGAAAAATCTCACACTCAGGCTTTTTGGTTTCATCTCTGCTAGTGGTGAAGGCCACACAGATTCAGTGTTTTCTCCTCAACTTCTTGGCCAGGGAGCTTTAGTAGGTCTTGTCTAACTACAGCTATGAAAATTGATACACGGAGACACACTTGCACCGTGTGTGTGTGTGTGTGTGTGTGTATGTTTGTGTGCATACTACACAACACGCTCCCTGTAGAATGCTCTGAGGCTTGCAAGGGAAATGAGATTTGAGAGCTAGGAGAGATGGAAGGAGATGCCATGGTGCCCTGCTAGAAGATTGGATTATAATAACTTATTACTGCAGAATGCTTTGCCATTTACAAAGAGCTCTTATGCACATTATCTTTTGGATCGTGCAACAACTCCACCAGATAGAGGTGTTATTTTCCTCAATTTAAACAAGAAAAAACTCAGCTTTAGAAAGGTTAAGGACCGCCACCCCCACCTCAAGGCCATTTAGCTGGTAAACAGGAGAGGTGAAACTCGGAATGCAAAAACCCATACCTTTTTCCTAGAACAACTTAATCTCCAAATAGAATCCTCTATCGCATCCGTACATCTATTGGCTTACACACTATTAAACTATCTAGTTAAAGGAACTTTAGGATTGTTTATTGAGGTAATTACTTCTATGAGATTGAGTAATTTTTATGGTGATGACTTGTTCATACCTGTGTTTCTACTGCCAAATAGCTCGCAGGGGTTAGGCTTAGCAGGTGGCTGGGCAGGGAGATTTTTCCACAGGCAACTCAGCAGTAGGAGTGTCGTAGCTACACTTGCTGCTGTGTGGGCTGACACATGGAGCTGTCAGGCTCCCACTACAGCTATTCATGTGGCTGCAAAATCTCTATTTCTCAGGATAAAGACCTCTCTTCCAGTGCAGTGGGCACCTGGGCTAAGATAGTTGGCCCAGGCCTAGAGCAGCACTCACCACAGCCATTTTGCTCAGAAAGCTCTGTGCACCTGAGCCAGTTGCAGATGGCTTTTACCAACAGTGGGATCCTTTTCCCCATTTCTGTTCTCACTCCATAGAAGGGAACCTAGAAAAGGTAGGGGATCCTTCCTGGGTTCCTAGGGTCCATGGACATGTCCTGGTGATGCAGTTCAATGGGCACATAGAGACAGGGCAGCTGGCCTCTGAGCATTCAAGTGGTCATGAAGCCAGAGCAGAAATCAGCTGATGGAGCTGAGAATGACCGTTTCTCCCCTTTATCCCATCCGCTTGGCTTTCCTGCCTGCCCTGGCCTCCTTTTCTTTTTACTCTGCTAGTATTTTCTGTCCTAGTCTTCCGTGATTTTAAGGATGAAACAATGACCCAGATACCTGGAATTCCAGGTAGGTAGAGAGCAGAACGTAGTTAGAAGTTGCAGAACTGGGCTGGTACGATGGCAGTGGGTTATCAGAACTTATTAACATTAGTGTCACTAACGTTGGTATACTACCCCCCCGCCCCCCACTGCTAAATTTGACTGGCTTAAAAAAAAAAAAAGTTGCAGAACTGGTTGTAGAGGTCAGCGGTGCTGGCAGTTATCTGAGAGGTCCTGGAAAACATCTCTGGATATCGTTCACTGTGGTTGCAAAGTCTAGCTGGGGGACAGATGAGAAAAACACAAAAAACGGGCCACTTGACTGTTGGCTTAGTAATGGGGGAGGCAGTCACTGCCTGTCCAGGATATAGCACAAGTGTGAGGGTGCCAATCATGGCCGGCTGCAACTGGATAGCACTGGTATTGAAGGGGATCAGAAGAGGCAGCAGAACATTTACGTAGGGTGAGACAGATAGACACAGCCACTTGGGAATCTTATGTTCCCTTCCCAAGTCATCATCCATCTTCAGAAAGAGCTCCGACCAACATGTTTGAATGAATTTCCAGATAGCAATCTGGAGAGGGCATTTTCCAAAGACACACAAGGATAGTGAGGGCAAGAAAAAGGCTGCCTTTTGCATGGCACCCCACTTACGTCCTCTGAGCCTTCTGGTATTGATGTGCAGGTGCTCATAAGAATGTCTGACACTATCAGTACTGCTGATTTTTAGCACTATCTGAAGATTGTACCAAACTTTACCTCCTCTGGTTAAGAGAAGATTTGTAGATGATATGAACTGGTCCTGAAGACTGGGTAGGAGATTTCCAGGCAGCTAAGGAAAAAGGTTGGGATTGCAGACAGAGAGAACAAAGTGTGCAAAGGCATGCTAAGGAAAGTATACAGTGAATTTGGGATTTTGGTGGGGCTGGAGCCAAGGGGCATGGAAGAGAAAAGAGGAGGAGAGTCTGATTGGGAAGAGGTTCTATTCTGCACTGGCACTGCTGCCCCGCTGCCTACACACTACAGACATTGTTTTAACCTCTATAGCTTGGCTGATGCAAGCATGATGATAAATGCAGTGTATTTAATCACCGTTAGGGCCAGTTAGAGCCACTGTGCTCCACTGCTGTGACCAGTGCCTGGGGCATGGAAACCACTACTTTGGAAAAACTAAAATGCATGCAAGTTTATCATGGATGAATATACAATAAAATTTTAATGGTCCAAAACTTTTCTGTTTTTCTGTCCCTTTTTTTTCTCTTCCTATATCCCCTTCTTGGTGATTTCTCTAGCCATTGCTATTTCACAAATGCCTAATTTTTCTATTAGAGATATCAATGTACAGGCTCTATCTAGAAGCTTGTTTTAAAGACACTGCTTTTACTGGAGTGTTTGGGGTAGGTTGTGACAGAGCGAGAGTTTGGAAGACTGGTCCTGGTCCTCAACCAGGAGTGAGGATTTTTCTTCTGTTTAAAACCCATTTTTCCCCCATTAAGGCTGCTTGCCTGTGTCAAGGAAATGATAGTCTGACTCCATCTTCCTAGGACTGCTGTCCAACTCTTAGTAAGCTGTATGGGTTCTGTATTAGTCCATTTTCTGTTACTATAACAAAATACCTGAGGGAGGATAGTGTATAAAGAAAACAGGTTTAGTGTTTGAGGCTTAAAGTTCAAGACTGGGTGGCTATTCCTATCTGTTCTCTTGTGAGGGCCCCCTCTCTGCCACAACATGGTAAATGGAAGCACAGTTGGAGCACATGGAAGAGGGAGATAGCACATGGCCAGACAGGAAGCCAGAGATATTCAGGAGCCAGCCTCATGCTTGTTATAATAATCCACTCTTGGGAACTGAGTCTGAGAGATCCACATTAATCCCTCTGCAGGGCCCACTAGATCCCACCTCTTAAAGTTCCTTCCACCCACTAACATCACCACCCTGGCACACACACACACACACACACACACACACACACACACACAAACTATATCCAGAATGCAGAAATTCAGACCGAGACCTGTCCAGCTAGGGCTTGCCCACCAGGGCCCCAACTCTCTGGGTGCTGTTAACTAGTTGCCCACTTCCAGGACTGTGGGGACCAGCTGGGTGGGGAAAGGCAGGCTTCTCACAAGGGCATTTTCTCCAGACCAGCCACAAAATCATGGCAGATACCACTCTGCAGTGGGTCTTGTCTCCCTGGCGCTGGCCTAGAGCCTCTGAGAGCCCCAGAACCTTCTAGAACCAAGTAAAATGCTCAGGCCCATCTGGAGTGAACCAGTCTTCTGATAAGGAGCTGCCATGTAGGCTGCACATTTTACTCCCTGTGACAGAACCATTTACTCTGTCAACAGGTCCTTCAGCCCACAGCCCTCTCTAGTAGCTCTTCCTGTATTCACTCATGTCAAAGGGATGATGCATGCGACAGCATCCAGCATGGAGTGCGGATTCATTCAGCCTGTCACCTAGCAACAGCCTAATGGCTCCCCTGGCTCCCTGAGCCAGCTGAGAGCACAAAGCATGCTTTTTAGCTTGGCCTTCTCCCACCCACACAGTACTTCGGGCCCTCTTTCCTTGCCACTGTTGTGGAAGCTAAATAATGTACATGAAGCAAGTGCAGGACAAACAATGGGGGGGCTGCGACTGGCCTTTTCTGGGCCCTCTCGGGGGCTGTGGGCAGCAGTGAATCCCAAGTGCAGCCTCACACCTGGGGTCCTATTCATTTCCATGGTAACACACGTATGTGGGGGACTCTGGGCCTAGATGGGTCGGCTAGCACCCAGCCTCTCCTATTCTAAGAGGACAGCAGCTGGTCGGCCCTCTCTGGATCGGGGATTGCTCCCTTTTCCAGCTCTTTCCAGCATGGAGGCTCTGCCAGGGGTTCAGCCCTGAGCCCTGACAGTGAAGAAGTGCTTCTTTGTGTCTTGAGTTAGCTTTGCACGTAACTCAGGAACATTCCTTTCTGTAAAAATATGTATGTTTTTCATTATAAAGTAATATAACTGCATTACAGAAAACAGATATAAGGGCGGGGGGAGTAAGTCACCCATAATCCCACGACCTGAACTTGAGCACTGTCAGCATTTGGTGTGTTTCCGTTGCCTGTTTTTCTTCCAATGCATCTGCTTTTTCCATCCTTGTAATCATGGCATACATACAATTTTGTGTCCTGCTCTTTCATTTACTATTTCCCTTAAAGTTATACATAAGCACTTTTTCATATTTGCCCTGAAGTCTTATTTTTAATGGCTATACATTATAACCAAGACTAGACCACTTCCTCTCATTCAGCCCCGTTCTGTCTGAGATAGCGGGCTTGGGGTTTATTTTCCAGTGGAAAGCTCACCGTTGTCTTCTGCTTCCCCTCCTTCTCCAGGGACCAAGTTTTTAGGGTTAATGTCAGAAATGGAGACGAGATCAGCAAACTGACTCAGCTAATGAATTCGGCCAGGTTTGAGGTACGTAGTTCTTAGTCCTCTTGTGTATTCTGACTATGGTGGGAGAAGACATTTGTACTATGGGTGGCATTATTTTTACTCCTGACAAGTTTCTCTATATACGCCTATGTTAGTCAATATGCCGTTTATACACTTGAGGAAAGGAGAAGAGTTACAAGTGACAGCAGTTCAGTTCTGGGGCGTAGAAGCCCTGGCCATGGGATTGATGTCCTACATCTTGGACTCTGGCAGGTACAGCTGGCTAGGCATTCTGATCACTTGTCACTGTGAATAGACAATGTCTACCCTCAGGTGGGGCTCAGTCCCTCAGGGATCACCCTGGATTTGCCAGGTACTAGAGAATGAGCTATTGTGTGTTTCACCTGAACTGTCCTTTAGCCTGGTTTTATTTCTGTTCCCGGCAGCTCAGTTTCTGGAAGTCTCCCTCCACATTCAATCGGCCTGTAGATGTCCTGGTTCCATCTGTAAATCTGCAACCAGTCAAATCCTTCCTGAAGACCCAGGGCTTGGAGTACTCAGTGACAATTGATGACTTACAGGTGGGTTAGGCCATGGGTCTTTTGGACCAAACAGCCAGTCCAAAGTGGACTTGAGAGAGTCTCTAGGTCTGCTGTCATCTTTTTTCATTTCCTAGGTGAAGAAACTGAGGCAAATGGAAGTAAAGGGCAGTGCCTTGTTAGAGGAACAGCATGTTATAGTAGATAGGGACCTACTAACTACTGGTTAACTATTTGTGTTGTGTCCTGGAGACTCTGTTTCTTCATCAGTAAAATGGTGCTAGTGATCTGAAAAAACTCTTTAATTAATATATGCAAAATATCTAGCAGTACTTGATACATGATAGATATTCCAGTAAGTAATAAGTGCATTTCCTTTTTCTTATTTTCAGTTAGGAGAATGGAGGGGTGGGTGGGGGTATTGGAGACCAATTGTAAGAAGTGCCCTTTGAGAAAGGGAGAATGTCACCATAAGTCCCCACAAAGGGAACGTCACCATCCAGCCCCACGACCTGTGCTGAACAGCAGGATGGTGTCTGGCTCACGCTCTCTCCTTTACTGAGGTGGGTTATAGATTAATTGGTGATTTGGCCCAGAAGTTTCCTGATGGTGTGAGCAGCTGTGAGCTTATTAATCATCCTCACGTGTCACAGACATCTGCCAGGAACCTTCAAAGTATGAGTGGCTGTAAGAATTTCTTTGTTTCTGAATAGTTTCCCAAGCTGTGTATTTCCGAGGTACTGGATACCAGATGCAGACTGATGTCTAGAGATTTGATACCATAGAATAACCAGATAGCACATATGTTTCTTCCAGAGAGTAAGTGGGTTTTGAATGGGGTGATATAAAGAAATTAGACACCAAGAAATAAAATAAAATATCCGATAGATAGATAAAGATAGATAAGATAGATAGATAGATAAAGAAATCTGATCTCTCTTTTTTTGTCATGAAAGGTGTGACAGTTTATTTTTAAAAGTTGTACCACACTGATCACAATGATTAACATATACATGTTAATGGCTTATCTCCTTTGCAGTGTTTTTGTACACTGACATGTTTCAATAGAGGAAAGGACATAGGAAAAAATTTTTTACATGAAAATGAACACCAATAATTCTGTTGTTCTACCATTGAAACCACTTCTAAATCAGTGGTATCACTTAGTTACACAGAACGAATGTTCTTTCAGAAGTAGACAGCTTGTGCCTGCCATTTCTTGACTTTAATCTTTAGTTTGTGTAACTCAAGCTATCTGACCCCCTCTTGAGTCCTTGCCATTTGGGTTGCTTTTCCCTGAGAGTGCACCATCTTGATCCACCTATGTACCAAGATAATGGCAGGAAAACCCTGAACCTGTAGGTGCAGCAGATCACTTCATCATATTGCTGTGTCTGTTTTAGGACCTTTTAGATATTGAAGATGAAGAAATGCGACTGAATGAAGGGCAAGAACGGAATGATAGTAACTTCAACTATGGGGCATACCATTCCCTGGAAGCTGTAAGTGTTTCAGAGTAGACTGAAGGCCACACTTGTCTCCTGCATTCTTTCTCCTTACATCCTTATGTCCAGGAGGTATTCATCTCCAGCGTAGTATCACTTCACAGAGGGGATAGCATGTGACTGTGTCATTCTTTTCATTTTTTGAATTAACTCCTATCTATACCTAAGAGCATAATGAAACACAAACTGAACACTCCCCATATATATTCTCTTCTGTTTTAAATGCTTCTTTTCTTAAGCAACCACTTAAAGAAAACCATGAAATAATTGCAATCATTTCCAGTCCTTTTAACTCAACTTTCTACTCCTCCACTCTAATCCCTCACTGAGAATAAAATGTTATTGGTGCCAGAGAAGTAGACAAGTGGTTACTTTTAAGGTTAACCAAGTATTTCCACTCATTTATCATGACTTCTTATAATGTGTACTTGTTCCATAACATATTTCTTGGTGTGGTGTTTAGTTAGAAACCACTTTATATAAATGACTGACTTTTAAGATAAGCCAAACTTTCTAGTGAAAACTTGGAGCAAAATAATTTTATATAGTATTGGAACTTGAGAAATCAAGAGGAACTATAGGATGAAACTATTAATAGTATAATTCTCTTACAATCCCAGGATCTCCCTTTTTCTACTAGCTCAGGTAAACTCTGTAAGCTTGCTTTGATTCTATATTGATTGCAAATTTCCTTCTGTGTGTAGCTTCTTCTGGCAATCCTAAGGCTTACACAAATCTAAATCAGTATTGTCTTCCATATACCTTAATGTGCATTAACTTTCCCTAGATGACTCTTTCCTCACATGGCTCAGGAAATTGTCCTGTTTTCCTTCACTCTAGGGTCAGTAGGTAGAGGAGAGTTTCTAAGCCCTTTCTGTGGCCAGATTAGCCAATTTCCAGCTTCCAGTTACAGCTTTTTACTAGCAATGCTGGGTCCTAAACCCTCAGCACCTAAGATTTTGTCTCCCCTCTTCCTTGGAAGTTAGGTCCTTCTTCATTGCTGGCATCTACAGTTTCCCCTTTGTGAGCTTTCCATTTGGCTGTAAATCACTTTCATTGTCTTTTACCTGGTTTGCCCATGTACTTGGGAGTGTCTTCTTGTTTCTGCTCAGTTTGCAATATTGACTGCCAGTCCATGAACTCTGTAAGCTTGATTTTTATCATACATTGGTTGCAATTTTCCTTCTGTATATAGCTCCTTTTTGTAATCCTAAAGATTAAACAAATTTATTTGTTTTCTTTTTGTTTCCTTCTTTTGGCCTTCAAATGTTTAGAAAAACTAAAATGAGTAAGTTTTATTTGAATTAAAGTCTTTTATTCCCTTCTGAAAGTGGTTGGGAATATTTTTTTACAACTCATCGCTTGTTCTGATAAAGCTTTTAGAAAAATCACCTTCAAAGTGGGGTGCCCATATATAAGGTTGTCCACTGAGATAGAAGAAAAAAGTATTACACCTTCTATTTATACTTACATATAATACCACCAATTCTATGCCTTTTTTGTTTCATAATATATTTATTTGGTAGTATATATAGGTACTTGATGAATGCTTGATTATTTTTGCTAATGTAGAAAGTGGCCCCAAGAGTTTAGAGAGTCCTCTTGCCAAGACCCTTGGCTAAGTAGGGCTGTTCTGACTGCCCAGCTCAGAGTAATATGAAGGATCATAATTTGGAGCAATATTTTTGTTGGTCTTTCTACTCAAGCTGAGTGGATTATCATTCTGTGGACAAGTGAGATGTGCTATTCTGTGGAAAGCTGGTAAAAGTTAGACTCTTCAGCTAGTTCTTTGTAATAATCATGCCATAACGTGGTCAGTTTCAAGATTAGGGACCCAGAAAAAACTATGAAGACCGATAAGGTAAAGTTCAGGTATCCATCCAGAGCTGAACAAATTTTAAAAATGCCCTTGGGCTCACTTTTTCGTGCTCCAGATTTACCAGGAGATGGACAGCATTGCCATCGATTTTCCCAAGCTTGCAAGCAGGCTGAAGATTGGACAGACGTTTGAAAAGCGGCCAATGTACGTACTGAAGGTAAGGACCCGTAGCTCCATGTGTTCAGGACCCAGCCTCAGTCACCGAGGGAGGCAGCTCTTTACTCTCTGGAACTTCAGGTTGGGAGACATCTTCCACGGCTCAGATTTGATCTGATGAGGGTCGCCTGCTTTTGTTTAATGCAGGGCTGCTAGAAGAAGCAAGCCCACTCCCTGTTTTCAGGAAGGAAGGGTCCAAGGGCAGGCAGTTAGAATGCTAGAATTCTAGCTCTGAAGTGGGGGGCTGCAGTCCTGACTGTATTCCCACTGTCTATTAGTGGCATGCAAAGTTGGGTTAGGCCTACCAATCTATTCTGCTTTTAGGGCAAAGCAACCTAGGAAGCTAATTTCAGGGCCAATGAAATTTTAAAAAAATTATTAATATTATTGATACATTTTAGATATACATAATGATAAAATTCTGATAAAATGTTAAACCTAGCTCTGATCCTTGGCTATACAAAGCTTAATTTCTAGATATTTCTGACAGATTCAGGTCCATATTGGCAAAAGAGATAGAAAATGATGACAATGGCATAAATTACATAAATAATCAAGCCAAGTGAATAAAAAGGAATTTGGGCACACAAACCATGGAACAATTGATTAAGAATTTGCTAAACCCTTGGCTTCACAGAAGCTGAAGAACCCAGGTTTATAGCAAATTATCAGCAGGAAGGGAGACCTGCCACTGAGCTGGTTGCTTTAAAATAATTACATTTAGATTATTTGCCCATCTGATGGAGACCCTGGTTTTATTAGCACCATGCTCTGACCCAAGAGGCCCCAACACTATGCCAGGGCTGGAGTTAGAATTCATTACTGCCATTTACACAGAGCTATAGTGAAGCTCTCTTCCTCCTAATTTAAAACCGAATTCATTTATTGCATCAGCAAAAAGCCTGGTTCGTGCACCTTGTTTCTGTCTCTATTGGGATACCATTTGAGGTCTTTCAAGAGACCTACTATTATCTCTAATCATGGCAGCATTCTAATCCACAATAACAATTGTTTCTCCTACCCATTTGCTCCCAGTGCTGGAGAGCTTCAGGCTGCCCCAAGCTGCAGCCAACCAATTAAGCTCCCCCGGTCACGGGCTAAGCCCGATAAATAGATGGTACCCTCAGGAGCATTTGGTCTCTGAATTATCTTAAATGAATTAAATGAATAGGAGTGAGCTGGGGAGAGGAGAGGTGAGCAGAAACGTGGGCAGGTGGGTCATTTTCTGGCCTCTTTTCCTTCTGCAGTTCAGCACGGGAGGAGGCAAACGGCGGCCAGCCATTTGGCTGAACGCGGGCATGCATTCCCGAGAGTGGATCTCGCAAGCCACTGCCATCTGGACAGCGAGGAAGGTCATATCGTCTGGTATTAGCCAAGGATTCTGGTGGGCCTTGGGTGGGGGGCTGCAGAATCCCATGTGGCTGGACTTAGTGGACAAGGTGGAAAGGCGCTCTGTACAGACCCAGGAGGCTTGGTCAGCCAATTCTGCCTGAGTGCTAAGGTGGCAGTGAGCAAACTCATGAGCCGGAGAGGTGGACCTAAGACACTGACCCATAATGAATCACTCAAAGGGAGACCACAACATTAGTGCCAGGGTCAGGCTAGCTTTCCCCTCAACCCCTTCCAGTCCCTGCCAGGCCCCCAGCGATGTCAGAGCCTTTGAAAAAACCCATGTTTAAGCTTTTATTGAAAGGGAGGGGGTGTTTTAAGCCTGCACACCATACCCCTTTGTTGGGCCTTAAAGTCCTAAAAATGTGTGACTTCCCACTGCCAGAAGGAAGTTGCTATTGTTATGCAGCTGTGTCCCCAGGGTTTGAAGGCTCTGAAGGCCCCCATGTCATGGGGACACGGGGATGTGTCAAGGGTGGAAGCGATTCTAGGAACTGCCATTCTTGGTGAGTGCATGCAGGCGATCTCTGGGACTTAGACCTAGTGACGAGGCTGGTGTGATGTAGCTGAAAAGCACTTTTTCTCTGCTTAGATTGTATCTGACTATGGGAAGGATCCAGCTATCACCTCCATCTTGAAGAAAGTGGATATCTTCTTGTTGCCTGTGGCCAATCCTGATGGATATGTGTACACGCAAACCCGAGTGAGTAATGCTGAATGGGCTGAGCATGGTGTGAAACTTCCTTGTTGAATTTCTTGCTTTGCTAATGCCTTGGGAGAGTGCTTTCACCGATATGCATATTATGAACTTGCTTGGGATTTCATTTTCTAGTCACTCAGAGCTGAACTCAGGGATTTTTTTTTTTTTTTCTGGAGAGAATAGTCTCAGGAACTCTTTATTATGGGTCTTGAGTGGTTATCATCACTTTACCAATCTTACTCATTTTTTCTCTCCCACATGATCTGTTCTTGATGTATTTTAAAGTGAATCCAAGACATCATGATATTTCACCCAAAGCTGCCTTATAGGCACCTCCAGCTGATAATACTGATAAAAAGCTCAAATCTACTACACCTCTGTCACCTTTGAAAAATTAATGGAAGTTCTTTAATATCATCTTACACCTCCAATTATCTTAAAAATGTCTCTATGGAGTCAATTTGTGGAAGTCGGGATCTAATAAGGTCTGTGCACTGCGTCTGGCTGCTGGGTCTCTGTAGCCTTTTTTATTCTATAATAGCACACCCCACACATCCTTTTAAAATGTCATTCATTTGTTGGAGAAACTAAGTAATTTCCTGAATAATGTCTCACATTCTGAATTTGGTTGATGGCTTCTTAGTTGTGCCATTTAACTTGCTCCCTTATTCCCCAAAGTGGAGCGTGACTGGATTCAGGTGGATTTTTAAAGGCTGGAATAAAATACGTGCTGTGCACTTCAAGCGCATCAGTGATCATTAAGGTATGTTTGTTTTTTGTTTTTTATTTTGGCTTTTTCATTTTTATCGGTACCAAGGATTGAACTCACGACCTCCTGCTTGCAAGGCAGGTGCTTATGCCGCTGAGCTAAATCGCCAGCCCCAATCATCAAGGTATGTGATGGCCACTGGCCACGCTTATGCCAAAGCCAACGATTATTCAGTGCATTCAGTTCGAATCAGCCTAGTTCTGTGACGGCGAACCTTTTAGAGACTAAATGTCCAAACTACAACCCAAAGCCCATTTATTTTTCACAAAGTGCCAGCACTGCAATTAAACCTGAATACTGAAGTTTTAATTTAGAAAAAAAATAACTGTTATCTGATGCTCCACTGCTGGGACAACTTGGCGTGAGTGCCGAGAAAGGGCTCTGTGTGCCTGCTGTGGTGCAGGTGCCACCGGTCCTCCACTGCAGGTCCGGTTCTCACATATGAAGTTCTCAAGGGACATTTTGGGGGAGTCCCTCTCTCTTCTAGCCAGAAAGATGAACTCTTCTTTTTCTGAGGAATGAGAGCAAATTCCTCAGGCAGGCCTGCAAGCCACCTGTCCTATCTCTTGTGCTTATCTCCATTTTAGCACTCAGAAAAGTCTTTTCTGCTCCTGGGCCCTGACTTACCTCTGGGTGTTTTATGGCTTGTTTCAGAACCGGTTATGGAGGAAGACACGGTCTCTGAATCCTGGAAGCCACTGCATCGGCACTGATCCAAACAGAAACTGGAATGCGAGTTTTGCAGGTAGGTGGGGGAAATGGTTTCAGACTGCACTGCCACTGGCGAGCCTGTCTTCCTGTTCACTGAGGTGGTGGGCTGGAGGGATTTGTACTGTCTTCTCTGCTCTACTCACTAGGAAAATTAGGGGCATCACTTAGGCTTTGCAAATTTGCTCTGTTTTTTGTTTCTTTAAAAAAAACTTTTACTGTAATTTTTTAAAGCAGTTGCATCAGTGTCCCCCAATTTGTCCAGAATCTTTTATTTTTTTGTTTGTTTTGTTTTGAGACCAGGTCTCACTATGTAGTATAGACTGACCTTGAACTTGGTTTTGTAGCCGGGCCGGCTTCAAACTAACAGTGATCCTTCTGCCTCAGGCTCCTGAGTACTGGAATTACAGGAGTGCACCACCACACCTGGTCTTTTTTGTAATTTTAAATCAGAATAACTCAGTAATCCCTGTTCACCTGAAAGAACTGTGGGACAGAATATTTTTGTATTATGATTACAACTATGTTGGTATTTTGTTTAATAAATATTTATGTATTTATTTATTGTGGTACTGAAGATCAAATCCAGCCCTCATGCATTTTTTTTTTGTCTTTTTTTTCTATCGGTACCAGGGATTGAACTCACGACTGCCTGCTTGCAAGGCAGGCGCTTGTGCCGCTGAGCTAAATTCCCAGCCCCCCTCGTGCATTTTTTGTGCCAATCCTTACACTAGTATTTTATCTTTTTGTTTTTTGGTGCATACTGGCTATGTAGTGCAGAATGGCCTGGAACTCATGGTGATTCTCCTGCCTCAGCCTCCCAAGTGCTGGGATTACAGGCCTGTGCCACCATGCCTAGCTACACTAATATTTAAAACCAATCTCATTTTAGAAGTATGAATCCTAGGGCCTTCCTTATCCCTCATCGTGACAACTTCGTTAGGCAAACCATGGGTGGGTAAAAGGACCTCCTGTGGTAACTCAAAAAAGAGCAATTAGCACTGTTACCCTAACAGGCAAGATTAATAAAGTCTTGATTATATTTTGTGAAAAGTGAACTCCAGCAGTTACTTTTCCTTGTGCAAGTATGAGCCCCAGCAGGTTAGTGTCTTGGGGAGAGAATGAAGATGAGGTGACCGGGGTTCTGAGTTCCAGCTGTTTAAAACTCATCCTCCACAGAAGTGCCAGCTGTCTGCCAATAAAGTACTTCCTCATGTACTTTATCCTTCTTACCTGGCGTGTGACTTTTATTATCTGAAATGAGACAAGAACCTCTAAGATTATGTGGCTGATGAGAATTAGGATTTAGACTCACTTTCTAATTGTAAACCCAGATTCAAACTCTTTCACTATTTCACATCTGCACTGATGGTTTTTCTTCTTTTTTCTCTTATTTCTTTGTTTTTTGGAGAAAAACAAAAAGAAAGAAGAAAAAAACTAAATCAAAATTTCAAAATGTGTCAGTCAGGGGGCAACAATGATACATACATTGCATACTGTCATCCCCAAATCATTCAACCAGAGCATAAGACATCTGTATTCAATTGTCTGAACAATACAGCACAAATCTTTCTCTTTGGTGAACTCAGAGAAATTAGGTATATAAGTATTAACTATTTTTATATACATATACATATGTTGTTTCTTTCAACTTCTCACACTAATGAAACAATACGATGTTTACACGTGTGTCTTATTTATTTCACTAATGAGTATGATCTCAAGTTGTATCCATTTACCTATAAAAGTCTCAAGTTTATCCTTCTTTATGGCTGAGTAGTACTCCATTGTAGAAAAATACCACGTGTTTTTTGTCCATTCCTCAGTTGATGAGTATTTAGGTTGTTTCCAAGATCTGGCTATTACAAATTGTGCTGCTATAAAAATGGGTGCACATGTGTCACTGTGGTATGATGTTTTTAATTCTTTAGGGAAGATATCTAGAAGGGGACCTCTAGTAGTAGTTTTTTGAGAAATCTCCACATTGATTTCCACAGTGGTTGTACCAGTCTACACTCCCATTAATAGTGGAGAAGGGTTCCTTTTTTCCCCACAGCCCCTCCAACATTCATTATTGGCTGATTTCTTGATAAGTCATTCTTTCTGAAGTGGACTCTCAGTGTTGTTTTAATTTGCACCTCTTGACTGAACAGTGACGTTGAACATTTTTTCACATGTTTATTGTTTGTATTTCTTCATCTGAGAAGTGTCATCTCAGAAGCCCATTTTTGGATTGAATCTTTAAATCTGAGAGAACTAATTTTTTTGAGTTCCTTACATGTTCTTGATAGTAATCCTTTGTGGGTTGTCTCTTTATTCTGTTGGTTTCTCTTGCTGTGAAAAAACCTTTAAATAGGGTGAGACCCCAGTTGTTGATTCTTGTGATAGTTCCTGTGCAATTAGGATTTTATTCATAAAGTCTTTGCCTACACCAGTTTTATCTTCTCTATCTTCCAGCAGATTTAATGTTTCTGTTTTAATGTTAAGATCTTCGATCCATTCTGATTTTAGCTTGGTACATATGAAACATATGGATCCAGTATTAATCTTCAGCGTGTGTAGCGCCAGTTTTCCCTCACCATTTATTAAAGAGGCTTTCTTCCAGTGAAAGTGTTTGGCGCCTTTGTTAAGAATAAGGTGGCTTGGGGCTGGGGATTTAGCTCAGCGGCATAAGCTCTTGCCTTGCAAGCAGGCAGTCGTGAGTTCAATCCCTGGTACCGGTAAAAAAGAAAAAGACAAAAAAAAAAAAAAAAAAAAAGAATAAGATGGCTTAGTGTGTCTGCAGGTGTTTCTGCACCTTCTAATCTGTGCCACTGATCTTCAGGTCCTTTTTTTTTTTTTTTTTTTTTGCCAGTACCACACTGTTTTGTTTTGTTTTTTTAAATCACAGTAGCTTTACAGCATAATTTCAAGTCAGGGATTGTGATGCTCCCTGTTTTGTCTTTGTTGCCCAGGATTGGCTTTGCTATTCTAAGTCTCTTCTGGTTCCGGATGAATTTTAGGATTATTTTCTCCAAATCTGTGAGATATGATATTGAAATTTTGGTTAGATTTGCATTGAATCTGTATAACAGTTTTGGAAGTACGGCCCTTTTCACTGTATTGCGTCTTCCTACCAAAGAGCACAGGATACCTCTCCATTTTCTCATATCCTCTTCAGTCTCCTTCTTTAGAGTACTGTAGCTTTCAATGTAGAGTTCTTTTATATCCTTCATTAGATTGGCTCTTAGGTATTTTTGGGTGCTACTATGAAAGATATTTCCCTAATATCTCTCTTAGGGAGTTTGTTGTTTGTGTACAGGAAGGCAATTGATTAAGTGTTGACTTTGTAACCAGCTACATTACTGAATTTGCTTATTAAATCTAGTAGTCTTTTGGTGGAGTTTTGGGGGTCTTCTAAGTAGAGTATCATGTTATCTGCAAATAATGACAGTTTAACTTCTTCCTTTCCTATCTTTATTACTTTTATTTCTTTCTCTTGTCTAATTGTTTGAACTAAAGTTTCCAGGACTGTGTTGAATAAGGGTGGAGACAGTGGACATCCTTGTCTTGTTCCTGACTTTAGAGAGAAAGCTTTCAGTTTTTGACCAGTTAGTATGATGCTGGTTGTTAATTTGTCATGGATGGCTTTTATCAGATTGAGATAAAGACCATCGATTCCAATTTTTTTGTAGAGTTTTTATCATGAATGGGTGCTGGACTTTGTCAAAAGCTTTTTCTGCATCTATTGGGATGATCATATGACTTTTGTCCTTGGTTCTGTTAATATGGTGTATTACATTTATTGACCTATGTGTGTTGAAACATCCCTGCATCCCTGGGATGAATCCCACTTGATCATGTTGTATAATCTTCTTGATGATTTGTTGCATTGTTTGCCAGTATCTCATTGAGAATTTTTGCATCAATGTTTATTAGGGAAATTGGTCTGTAATTCCTTTTACTAGTTGGGTCCTTCTCTGGTTTTGGTATCAGGGTACTGCGTGCTTCCAGGAATGAATTTGGGAGTATTATTTCCCTTTCAGTTTCATTAAAGAGTTTGAGAAGTAGTGGTGTTAGGTCTTCTCTAAAATTTCTTCTTGAAATTAGCAGTGAATCCATCGGGCCTGGGATTTTCTTTGTTGATAGGTTTTTTTTTTTTTTTTTTTTTTTTTTTTTTTTTTTTATCGGTACCGGGGATCGAACTCACGACTGCCTGCTTGCAAGGCAGGCGCTTATGCCACTGAGCTAAATCCCCAGCCCCTGTTGATAGGTTTTTAATTACATCCTTGACTTCATTTATTGATATTGGGTTATTTAGGATTTTTTATCTTCTTGATTCAGCTTTGGTAATTCACATGTATCTAGGAATCTGGCCATTTCTTCTGTATTTTTCATCTTATTAGAGTTTTCAAAGCAGGTATAGATGATTTTCTGGATTCCTGCAGGGTCTGTTGTGATTTTGCCCTTTTCATTCCTCATTTCATGGATTTCAGTCTTTTTTTTTTTTTTTGAGAAGGCTGGCTAAAGGTATGTTAATTTTATTTAATCTTTCAAAGGACCAATTCTTTGATTTATTGATACTTTGTATTTTTTTTAGTCTCCAGTATGTTAATTTCTGCTCTGATCTTTATAATTTTCTCCTTTGTATGAGCTGCTGGCTTAGCCTGCTCTTCTTTTTCTAGAATCTTGAGATTCAACATTAAGTTGTTTATATGCGCTGGCTCTGTATTCCTGATATGGGTATTTACTGCTACAAATTTCCCTCTTAAGATTTCTTTCGTTGTGTCCCACAAGTTCTGGTATGTTGTATTATCATTATCATTCCACTGTAAAAACTGTTTAATTTCTTCTTTAATTTCATCTGTGACCTATGGGTTATTCAGCAGGGTGCTGTTTAATTTCCATGTGTTTATGACGTTCTTGTGGTTTCCTTTGGCATGGACTTCCAATTTCATTCCACTGTGGTCTGATAGTATGCATGGAATAGATAATTGCAATTCCTTTGCATTACTTAAGCATGTTCTATGAGTCAGTATATGGTTTATTTTGGGGAATATCCCATGTAAGAAGAAGATATATTCTGATGTTGTGGCATGAAACATTCTATAGACATCTACTAAGTCCATTTGTTCAAAAGTTTGATTTAGTTCTACTGTTTCAATATTGATTTTTTGACTAGTTGATCTGTCTTTTTATGACAGTGTGGTATTGAAGTCTCCCGTTACACTTGTATTAGGGCTTATTTGACTTTTCATATCTGTTAGTAATTGTTTTATATAGTTGGGTACACTGGTATTTGTTGCCTATATATTTATGAATTATCTCTTCCTTTTGGATTGTTCCCTTTACAAGTATGTAGTGACCTTCTTTAACTGCATTAATCGTCTTGGTTTGAAATTTACTTTGCAAATAGAATATCTGCCTCTGCTTTTTTCTGGGTCATGTCACATGGAGTACTGTTTTCCATCCTTTGACTTTTCAGTCTATGAATTTCTTTTTGAATTAAGTGTGTTTCTTATATGCAGCATGTTGTTAGATCTTGTTTCTTGATCCATTCTCCAGTCTGTGTCTTTTGACTGGTGAATGAAAGCCATTAACATTGATGTTTATAACTGAAACGTATTGACTTATCCTTGTCATGTTATCTTCCTGTTGTTGGTTCTCACTTTTTATTTTTTCCCCCTTTCTCTAATTGTTTGCCTTCCCTGTTGGATTCCTTCTGTTGGGGTTCATGGAACTGGAGTCCTTATTATCTCTTTCTAGAATGTCCTTCAGAATAATTTGGAGTCCTGGTTTGGTGCTCATAAATTTCCTCAGATGTTCTTTGTTGTGGAAGTATCTCATTTCTCGATCAATTTTGAAAGATAGTTTTGTGGGGTATAACAGTCTGGGTTGAAAGTTGTTTTCCTTTAGAACCTGGAGTACTTTACTCCAAGCTCTCCCTGACTGGAGAGTTTATGCTGAGAAGTCAGTTGTGATTCTGATGGGCTTTCCTTTATAGGTGATTTGTTTCTTTTCTCTAACAGTTTTTAAGATTCTATTCTTTTTTTTTGTTTTGTTTTGTTTTTGTCTAAGTCCAGGGGATCCACTTCCTTCCTTCTTGTCTTCCTCATGATGCTATTTTTCAGCATCTTAAAAAGGCTGTTTTCTCTGCTGCTTACCACTCTGCCATCTTCCCAGAAGTCCTCTGATGTTTTGTTTTTAACAGATTTTTCTTACTTGTACAAAACACACAAAATCCACTGGGGGAAAAGAACAATTGTAGGAAATGAGCTGGCATGAATGTGGGGATTGAGGCCATCAAAGTCAAGGCAGATGGTTCCATAACTGAGGTGATCACACACACACACACACACACACACACACACCAGATGCATCAGGCAGCTGTATTGTGAAGTAATACAGCAGGTGGTATTTCTAAATACCTGTTAAATAATCAAGAGGTTTTAGCTAGAACAATAAATTATTTTTGGCAGCAGCTGGTTGTTAATATCTGAACGAAGAGAGTAAGTTGACACCAGAATAAATTGAGTCATTTTCATTATTTATTGGTATTCATATTAATTGTCTAAAATATTTGTTAATTATGACTCATTTTCAAGCATACTATTAATTATTTATGACAACACTACTGGCATAATATAAGGTCAAATTTCCCCACTTAAAGAAATTCCAACAAGCCTCTTTAATCTCTGCACTGAGGACTGCAAGTTCTCATTCTGTTTAGGCAACTTATTGAGACTTGTAGTCAAGGGTTTCAAGGAGGACAAGGTTCCAGGACACATAATTTATAGTATTATTTACAATGGTCACTGAAGAAGTCAAATACAAAGAAAATGCAGGAAATCTATGCACATACTAAAAACCTAGAAAACCCAGCCAAAGGCTTGGATCTGAAGGCAACAACTTGCATGAGTTCAGCTGAAAACCTAGAGTCCATGACAATGTTTCCCATGAGTCCAACTGGAGGCCTAGAGCCCACAACAATGACTCATATAAATCTATTTCACGGATCTATATGGGGAAGGCCCCAAGGTCAGAAGTGGAAGCCAGAAAGTCTATGCCAATGGGATGAAGGATCTGTGCCAGTAGGTTGAGGGTTATGCCCTGGAGTCAAGAAGCGACACTCAAAATAAGGACCAGGGCTCCCCCAAAAAGTACCACAGCCATCTCAGTGACAAGAAGATGCCAAGCTCCTCTGACAATGAGAACAGCCAAGTATGCATCAGGAAGCCAGCATGACAAACTTCTGCATATTAAACAGCACAATCTTCTCCTCTGGAGCCAGGAAGCAATGCTCAAAGTAACAACCAGAGCTCCCCAAAAGTGAACCACAGCTATTCTCAGCAACAAGGTCCTGAGCTCCTCTGAGGATAACAGCTGAGTTCATATCAGGAAAGCCAGCATGACAAGCTCCTCCAGTAGAACTAACAGCTCCAAACAACCAACAGCTCCAAACAACAACATGGAGAACCAACAATGCTACACTCTTCCTCTCTACTTCTTTTATTCTGGCAGCAGTCCTCAGGTGAATGAACCCTCTACAATCAGCACTGTGCTGATTCAGTTCAGCTGGTAGTTAAGCTGATCATCAGCTTTAAATCCACCACAAGGTCCTATCTCAAGATTAATCAATAAGGCCAGGGATGTAGTTTAGTTGCACAGTGCCTGCCTGGTAAGTACAAGGTCCTAAGCTCGATTTCTGGGTTAAAAAAAAAATTGCTGGGCATGTAGCTCAGTGTAGAGTGTCCTTGGGTTTGATACCTTGTATGGCAAAAGAATGAAAAACAAGAACCTCAGTAATTTCTCTTCCTGAGGCAGATCCCACATCCCTATCTCCCTTTCTGTTTCCTTCCGCACAGTCTGTATACACAATGGACAGGCTTTTTGGGACATCTGCCAGTAGCCTGCCCATTGTCAATAACTTGAGTTCCTCCTCCAGGTTGAATGCCCTTAATTCCATCATTCTGGCCTGTGAGTTACTGTTTCTGGTTGAACTGTCTCCAACAGGAAAAGGAACCAGTAATAACCCTTGCTCTGAAGTGTACCACGGCCCACATGCCCATTCCGAAGTAGAGGTGAAATCCATAGTAGAATTCATTAAAAAACATGGGAATTTCAAATGCTTCATTGACCTGCACAGCTACTCACAGTTGCTGATGTATCCCTATGGGTACACAGTCAAGAAGACCCTGGATGCTGCGGAGCTGGTGAGTGACAGCTGACCTCCACCAGCCCTGGCCTTCCCTAATTTCTGGATGCTGCCAGGGTACCAATCTGCAGCTTTAGAGGGAAAATCTAGGAGCGTGGGTGCGTCTCATTAAGGGCCCAGAATTCTCTCCCTGCTCTTCAGGATGGATGTACTGTCAGACATACTGGGGACAGGAGGAAGACAGTGCCTCTTATTTCTAGACCTACTGTGGCGTACACTGCCTTGCCACCTCACTGGTTTTTCCTACTGGATTGTGTTGCAGCCTCACTATTCACTAAGGATTGTGGTTGGCACAGTGGTGTGCAAGGAGGAAGGATTGTCATTCTGGTTAATAAAGAGGTGGAGGATGCTGTGGCCTACAGCCTAGGAGTGTTCTGTGTCAAGCTCTGTGGGGAGGTACTTCAGGTGGACTGGGGGTGGGGTGGGGAGCAGGGCTGACATCTGCCAGATGATCGCAGGCCTCTGCCTCCACGGAAGTTGCTGAAGAGAACTGCTCTGCTCAGGTCATATCCAGGCCACAAACCTTCTGGCCCTCTTTATCTATGGCTGCCCTGTCTGCCCTGGCTGCCCTTCTAGCTCCTGGAGGGTTTTTCTCAGGAGCACGTTTGGTTTTCTCTCCTGGTCCTGAGAATGACAGTCCCCTCCTTAAGGATACAGGAAGGTGGGGCCTTACCAGATTCCTAACAGGTAGGTGAGCAGCTCAACAGCCCTTTAGAGAGGTCAGAGCAGCACTTCCAATTTGCACGTGTGCCATACCTGCTTTCAGAGGTGTATCATTCTTTGTCCTCGAAGTGGGCATAGACCAGGGAATGTGGCAGGGGAAGTGTCGGAGGACCCAGACTGACTCTATCAGGCCTCTGCTCTGGTTAGGTGGGAAGGAAGAAGAGACCAGCAGGGAAAACTTAAGGTGGTGCCGGACTCTCCCCAACCCCCAGTGCAGGAGAGCTGAGGAACAGCAGCCTCCAGGATCCATTCCTCTCACTCTGTCCTTTCTTTTCCCAGGATAAGGTGGCAAGGCGTGCAGCCAAAGCCCTGGCTTCCAAGTCAGGTACCGAATACGAAGTGGGCCCAATCTCCACCACCGTCTGTGAGTACTCCCTGTGTGACTCAGTGTTCAGACAGTGCCTTGAAATGGAGGGCAGGGGCTGAGGATTTAGCTCAGTGGTATAAGCACCTGCCTGGCAAACACAAACTTGTGAGTTCAATCCCTGGTACAAAAAAAAAAAAAAAAAAAAAAAAAAAGAAGTGCAGGAGAGCTATAAGAATTGCAAAGCTGTTATCTGCTTGTTTTCATGGTTCATGAGAGAATTTATGGCAAGCCAGTGGGACACTAACAGTTGCAGGCTCTTTGACTCTTGTGCTATTTGTCACTTGCCCTTGATGAGTTAGGTTTTGTCAGAGGGATAGAATTTGCATTCCTCACCTTGCATGGAATATCCTGACATAGTTAACAAAAAACCCATCAAGACTACTACTTCATTTTTGGAGGAATACTGCCTTTTCCTTGTCAGATGGATGGAGGTACTCTTCAGGTCGGGGAGACTCCCTCACCTTCCTGTCAGAAATGACCAAAAGTTAGGGGTCTTGCTAACAATGATGAGTGTTGAGGAAAAAACTCAAATCCTAGCACTCTGGGAGGCTGAGGCAGGAGGAATGCAAGTTCATGTGCACTTAGGCTACTTAGCAATCTAGTGAGAACCTGTCTCAAACAAAAAAGTCTACTGAGATCCAAATCTGAACCTGGTCTTGAGGTTCACTACTCATAACCTCACTTTGAAGAAATACCTTTCAGTTGGTCCCTCAATGAAATGTTTCATCTGAGTAGTGCATTTGATTCCTGCTGAGAACCTGCCAGTTCTCTTATTCTGCAAGTCTGTCTTCAAATTTTCCCTTTGGGAAAAGTACCATCTTCCAAGTATAAACATGGGAAGCCCAACTCTAGCTCTGGTGGGTTCCTCTCACCCTCTGTACAGTGCCTTCTCAGTATACACTGTCATGTTCTACCCACAGGGCCACCTAAGAGCCCCTGCAGATGCACTGGTGTTTCTTTTTCTCCTCAGCTCTGGAGTTCACTATTGATTCTGTCTCTGCAGCTTTTCTGGCAGACCTCTTCTGGGGAGATCTCCGGCCCGCCTCCTGGGTTCTCCTCTGGGCTCTGATCTCACCACCCTCATCTGTTTCATCTGCCACTGAACTGCATAAAGTAGTTAGCATGATGCTGGTATTTAAGTTGCTAATTGCAGCAACAATCCATTAATTATTCATGGTTTATTGCTATTAGTGGTATTAAATGGGAACTCTTCAGAGCACACATCTGGAGACTTTCTCCACCCTCTTCCTAATTAGTCAGAACCCAGCCAGGAACCAAAAAGAGAGGAGGCTTGCTAGGAACCCATGAGGGGTCTTCCCAAAGAGCTTCTTGGGTCACCAGGATTCTGGCTTTTGGGCCAAACACCAGTTTAAATAATGGCCTTTTCCTCCTCCATCAAGCACACTCTTCTGCCCAGCATGAGCTGAGTCCAAACCAGTGGATCCTCAGCAGACACTTCCAACAGAGGAGAGAAGGCTCTCTCGGGTGCATCCAGAAGCTGTAACATTTCCTACCTCTTTCAAGAGCCTGTCTCCTGTCCTCCCTGCTTTCCAAAATAGCAATCAAATTTTTTATAATAGCACTCCATCTGACCCCAGGAATCTGGGATGTGATAATCTTTTCAAGCACCAGCCATTTTCTTAGATTAACCATTTAATGAAAATAATTCTAAGATGGACTCCACAATTCCCTGCTTCTCAAACACAGCGTGGGAAGAGATTTGAGCTCCTTTCTTCAGGACCAAGTAGCTTTCTGGACATTAGTTACTATATCCTGACAACCTACAGTTGTACTGTTGGACCACTCTACTAAACAGCCCCAGCCTTTTCTGCTTGTGTCTGCTTCTTAGAGTTTCATTTGTCCTTGTTTGGTCAGACCATCTCAAGTAGCTTGTCCTGTTTTCAGGACGGCTGCCTCTAGCAATTCTCCTTTCTCTTTGCTGATTCTGGTCGACTATGGGCTTAGAAATAAGTTGTTTGCATTCATATGACTAGTGGCTGAATCATGAGTATTAAAGATAGTCATCACAGCACTATTTATCATCACAGAAGATTTGTGAACATCTAAAATATTCACCAGGAGAGTGCTGGATGAAGGCACACTTGGTGTATTTGTAGAAACACCGAGCTGCCTTTCTGTGAATGTGGTGGGATCTGTGTACTGAGAGGTTAGGAGTAATAAGGGATATTCTTCTGTTGTTAACTGAAAGATACAATATGTAAAACAGTGCTGGTAGTATGTTCCTATGATGTTAAAAGAAAACAAAAATGTAGATGTTGAGTAGGGATCTAAATAAAGCGAAGCTCATGAACTCCATCATTTTGACTACTAAGAGAAAGCCTTTTGGCCTCCCTCCAGGATCTTAAGTGTGTTTGGAAACACTGTGCTTGAGTTTGCCATAGTAAAGCACCTCTAGAAGCTTCTGGTATCATCATCTGTTCTTGCTGAAGCTTTTCCTCAGGCTACAGAAAGGCTATAGGAATCACACAGGACTTCAGAGAGAATAGCAGAACCTGTTCTGTAACCTGTTCTGCACCAGCTCTCAGGAGGCAACAGCTCTAGAAAAGTCAATTGTGCTATCTTGAGAAACAACTCTTGGGGACAATAAGAAGGAAAAAGGGCTTGTATCTTCACTGAACAGCTGCGTTAAGACATGGAATGGACCTGAGGTTGTTTGAGAAAAGCTTAGGCTGTTTCATCAGGTGGACCTGGGTTTAAACTCTAGCTCTGCCATTTTCTGTCTGTATTTCCTTAGATGAATGACCATTCTGAGTCTGAATTTCCTCCTCTGTAAAACAAGAACAGTAATACCTATCTTCCTATTTTTTGTTTTGTTTCAACTTTTGTTTTTTGAGATAGAGCCTTGCTATGGTTCAGCCTGGCCTCACTAGCCCAGGCTGGCTTCAGACGCGGCAGTCTTTCTGCCTCAACCTCCTGACAGGAGTGTGCCACTATGCCCAGCTTATCTATTGTTTTTAAAAGATTATGAGGTCATAAATATAAAGTTTCTAATATGACTGGCTCATAGTAGATGCTGAATGAATAATAGCTGCTGTTGACATAATTACTTTATTATTAAAGATCCAAGATCACCTACTTTTTGTTCTCTTAGCCATTTTCTGCTCCAGTAGTTTGATGGAGAAGGAGTAAAACAGGCCTCTTGCCACTGTAGAGACTTATTTTGGTATGTCTTACTTAGGATTGAAGCCAAGGCCTTCTCCCTGAGCCATACCCTCAGCTCTTTATTATGTTTTATTTTGAGACAGTATCTTGCTAAGTCACTGACTCACCCCAAATGAGTTTGAACTTTAGCTCCTCCTGTTTTAGCCTTCCAGAGTGGTGAGATTACAGGTGTGCAGCACTATACCTGGCTACCTCCCTCAAGCTTTTGGCAGTTTGCTTCCTTCTATGTATCACTTATCTCTCACTGTATGTAAAATAAATCTCAAAAGTTAGCGGTTTAACACCATAAACATTTATTTTCTTACACTGTGTCTGGGGACCAGGAATTCCGGAGCAGCTCATTTGGCTGGTGGCTCTGGTCCAAGGTCTCATGTGGGATTACAGTCAAGGTGTCCTGCAGGACTACAGTCATTAAAGGTGTAGCAGGGCTGAAGATCTGCTTGTCAGGTGACTTAGTGGATACCTAGGGAGTTCATATTCATAAGCGGCAGGTGGTCATAGTTCTTCACTACATGCAACCCTTGAGTATTCTTACTTCATAGTGGCTGGTTTTCCACAGAGTGAAAGGCTCAAGAGTGACCAGGGCGGAAGGAAGCTAGAATGTCTTTCGTGAGAGCTTCATCTCTGAACTATCCTGTTAGGCACATGGGTGAGGCCAGTCCTGACCCACACAGGAGAGGGCCACACAAGGATGTAGATTCCAGGAGACAGGTCCTTTGGTCTCTCTCAGAGATTGTCTACTACACTGTGTCTCTGAAGTTTGGTTTGAGTGACCTGCAGGATTGGACCCTGAGTTAGTAGTGAGGGGTAGTGGGGATTTCAGATCTCCTCGTTGGATACTAGTGCCAACTTTCCTGGCATATGAATGGAGCCAGTGTTTCCAGTGACTTGCAGGAAGAACTCTTGATTGTTAGGGAAGCCTAGACAGGTGGGCTTCCTGATACCCCAAAGGGAACTGAGCTAAAGCAGTGTTTGCTCTTCTCCTTTATAGACCCTGCCAGTGGGAACAGCCTTGACTGGGCATATGACAATGGCATTAAGTATTCATTCACGTTTGAGTTGAGAGATACAGGTAATTATGGCTTCCTCCTGCCTGCCGACCAAATCATCCCGACTGCGGAAGAGACCTGGTTGGGGATGAAGACCATCATGGAGCATGTGCGGGACAATCTCTACTAATGAAGGGACCCTTCAGTCTATGTTAATCCATGTACACATTCACTGAGGCTGCTATTAAAGCAGCTCATTCTTTCCTGCTTGAGCAGACCTTTAGGTTAGAGAGCTGGCTGGGCTGTTCTCTGCAGCTCCCTGTGAAGAGCGCTTCCCCATTCTGTCCTGTTGCTTTGCTGAGCCTTTGGTGTACCTCTTCTTCTACACAGCTGGTTGGACAGGCCAGTCAGGGTCGTCCCTTACCGGAGGATACAGCTCTACCTTATTTTTAGAATTGAGGGGCATCTCTTATCTACTTGCACAGCCAAGTTGGAAGCTTCTGGCTCTTGTGCAGACCAGGAAAGACATTGAGTGAGACAATGCTTATCTTTAGTTGGATCACAAACATGACACAGACAGAGCTTCCTTTCATTTATTTTAGTCTTCCTGGACTGCATTTTTCTTTTTCTTTCTTAAGGTGAGAGTCTTGCTCTGTTGCCCAGGCTGGTCTTAAACATCTGGGCTCGAGTGACCCTGCTATTGCCTCCTGAGTATCTGGGATTATGAGTTGTATGCCACCACATGAAGCTCAGAAGCATGTTTTTCTTTGAAGAACAAATCCTGTATGGTCATCTTTTTGGATCTGAATGTGAAGTAGAAGCTCTCTTCCCGTCACTAGCTAAGAATTTCCAGATACTGCATTTCTTATCGCTTCTCTTTATCCAGTGTAGCTGGGATCCCAGAAGGGGATTAGTGTCACTTTAGTCACTGCCCACATGGGATCACAGAGGAAGTGACAGGCTGCACAGCAGCATTGCCCAGTTTTTTCTCTCTGTCCTGACAGGCCCATCTCTGCTGTGCCTTTTGAACTCACTCTGAAGATCTTGTCCTTACCCCACAGATCTTGCCCTTACCCCACAGATCTAAATCTTTCCTCTTGTCTGGATAATTTCACAGGCTTGGCACATTCCTGTTTGTACTCTGCTGTACCCTGTATTTGCTTTTTTTTTTGCCTTTAAAGTTACTTTTCTTTATTGTGTGTCCTGGACCATAAGTACCTACATGGAACAAGACTTACGTGGAACAAGAATTTATCAGTCAGACACCTCTTCCGCCATTTTTCTTCAGCACCTACCATCTGTCTTTTTTTGGGGGGGGGTATGAGTGTCTATCAATCTTAACCTTCTGCCTAGGATTTGTGCAGCATCTGGTATGTGCTTATAAGTCAATAAATATTCAGTATGAGTTTCATGGTCATCCCCTATTCTTTGTCTTTACCTGAATGGAACCAAGCCCTGGTTTTGAATATGCAGCTCTTGATAATGTCAAAAGTCAATACAATCCCTGTCCAGATCACAGGCCATGTAGGAAGGTCTTCTTCATCAGACACAAAGGCCTCCAGAGCAATGTTACCTTGGTGATTTCACTCTGTTTGGGGTCTAGATTTGAGGTTTTCAGCCCAGAAGCTTGATATTCTCATTGTCCATGTTGATTAGTCCTGGGGATGCTGACTCACACCTTCAGAGCCCAGATGAGGCAGATGATACAATCAGAATCTGAATTTATTAATTTACATCATGGCATGTAACTATTTAATGGATTGGATCCTCACGTCGGCCTGAACAGTACATTCTCGGTACATTCTCTCCCTGTAGGCAAGGTACATGGGAAGCCAAATTATAATCAGAAGGTTGCTTAGTGTGTGGGCGTTGGAGCAAGGAAAGTTAATTACAGTCTATGATTAGAATTTTTAATGGCACCCAGTTCTAGTAGCATGATATATCTAGTTGTATAACCAGAAAACACCTGCTAGCCAGCCAGCTGGTCACTTGTGCTGGCTGGACACGGCTGCCCCACATGGTTAGGACAATGCCTTGATAAGTGCCTCTGGCCTGCCTCAAGCCTGGTCCACTTGTGACATCTGTCCTTAGATTGAGACTGTTCTTTACATTGCTTGAAGTAAAGATTTCTTAAAACGTAAGAATCCATAAAAAGAAAATGAACATTACCTGTGACTATAATAAACTCAAGAACCTTAATTCATTAAATGCTGCCATAAGGAAAGGGAGAAAACAAGTTATTTAGTAGAAGAAGAGATCTACAATGTTCCTAAAACATACCACAGACAAAGGATGTATGAAGAAGTGCAATTCAATGTAAGAACAAATAACCCAACAGAAAAACAGGTGAAATATATGAGCAAGCATTTCACATAAGAGAAAGCAAGTAACGCTGATGAATGTATGAAAGCTGACGAGTGATTGGGGACAAGAAAAACAAGACTGCAGTGAGACGCATTTTATACTTGTTTAATTTACATATATTAAAAAGATGTGTGTAAAGAGGATGTGGATGGCAAGGTCTCATACCTTACTAGGGTGGAGGTGATTTCATGATTCACACCATTTTCTAAAGTGTATCCTTTATGAGTCAGTCATTGCAGTACTAAGAATGAGGTTCTTGGAACCATCTCTAGGTCTTACATCTGGTTCTGCTGGACTGGAAAAAGAGTGCTGTGAAGCAGATGGCAGGGTGAGGAAGACAGTCTGTGGCTGTGGATGGGATTAGCTGCCATCCATGTGCTGCCCACTTGAACTGAGGGTCATTTATTGAACTGCAGAGATCTGGATACCAACAACCATCTCCAACCATCCATCAACCAACTATCTCCACTTCTGTCCTCAGGGTCACAGACTGCGGGGAGTAGCAGAGTGGTTCAACTCTTTCATTTAGCTACATGACCTTATGTCATGATGAAACCTCTGGGAATCTGTTTTCCTTCCTTCCTTCCTTCCTTCCTTCCTTCCTTCCTTCTTTCCTTCCTTCCTTCCTTCCTTCCTTCCTTCCTTCCTTCCTTCCTTCCTTTCTTCCTTCCTTCTGTGTGTGTGGTGCCAGGGGTTAAACCTAGGGTTTTGCAGATGCTAGGCAAGTATTCTATTCCTGATCTGCACCCTCAGCCCTTCCCATCTTTAACGAGAATAATGATAGTATCCGCAGTGTCTTAAAGCGAACTAGGGAAACTAATACATTAAAATACTCAGTACCTTACCCTACTGTGGAAGCATTCAGTATGTATAAGAGGTATTATGCAGAGTGATGGAAATTCATTTGTGAATCAGGTTGTTGGCATTTTCCCAAAGTAGAGCCTTTTCATGAGACTTATAACAAAGATTTTGACAGTTTATAGAAAAACAGTTGGATATTTAGTCATTTTTAGTATTATTTGAGTTTTGAATACTGGTTTTATAGGGACCTTTCCTATGTTATAAAGATACCAATGCCCCTGTATGAGATTAAAACAAGGGACCACTGCCTGAAAGACTCAGAGGCTCTGCTTCTAAGCACAACCCTTTCAAGCACATGTAGTTATCTCTGAGATTCACAGATCCATGGCAGTTGCTGCTGTAAATCTATTTTAGGTGAAGTTGAGGGTATATCCCATTTCTGAAGTCTCATGTCTATTTTATGTCTTTTACGTTACTATGTAAAGACAAACTATATGGGATTGTTTTTATCATCATCATCATCATCATCATCATCATCATCATCATCATCGTTGTCATCATCGTCATCATCATCATTCTATGTTATGTTTCATGAACTCTGGAATTTTGCCAATCTAGGCAGCTTATAAAATAAATTCTCTCTGCTCTTTGTACTGATCTTTAAATCATAAACACCAGCTGGTTTTTGTATTTGAAGTAAAACTCCAGGTATACTGGGGCATCGAAGGAGCAAGGGAGCATAGGCTGTTCTTACCTCCTCTAGCATACATATGGGTATTGTCGAGTTGCTAGGCAATTTGTTCTATTAATGCAGAAAGTGAATCCTATATTTTTGTATCTCCTACAAAGGCACATTCAGCAACTAGTAAATATTTGTAGATTTGATTTGCTGCAGGCAAATTAACAATTGCATAAGGCACACTCTAAACAAGTTAGGGCAGCAGGAGAAGAGTACTTTTTCCAAGAAGTACGATGAGTGGAATTCTGGAAAACAGATTGGAATGCAGGTCTTGAGTTCCAAGAGAGACAGAATATAAATTAAACATGTGGAGATAAGGAAAGCTTGATATTGGTTAAATTGCTTGCAGTTTTGTAATGATTTATAGTTTTAAAATGCTTTATGGATATTGGGTAATTAAATTATCATAACCACCTGGTGATAAATGCAGTATGGGTATTATTATCCCTTTTTAACTGTTAAGGAGATGAAATTGCTAAAACAAGCAAAGTGATGTACTTAAAAATTTTTTTTTTGTCTTTTTTGAGACCGGTTCTTGCTATGCAGTTCAGGCTGGCCTTGAGCTCACTTTGTAGCCCAGGCTGGTCTCGAACTCCCAAGGATCCTCTTGCCTCAGCCTCCTGAGTGCTGGGATTATAGGCGTGAGCCACCATGCCCGGCTTATAATGTACTTAAATTTACATGGTTGGAAATAATGAAGCCATGACTTAAGACCTGGTCCAGATTGTTACTGAGGCCATTGCTGTATTGTTGACTTTGTTTTTGAATTCAAATACATTTAAAATATACATTGTTGTTATAGTCCCTTCAGTATCACAACCCTATGTTACTTGCTTGGCTGGCTCTTGATGTCTTTGACTTTTCAGTTTTGCAGTCATAAGAGGGAGAAAAAGAGCCAGGTCTCCCTTGCTGGCTTCCATAGCTGGCTGAAGAAATATGCTGATTGAGGGTATTGTGTGGTTTCCATGACTCCTTTTGCCACTGTGGGCCTATGCTGAGGATGGCCATCCAGAGAGAATTATGGGTAATGTTTTCATATGAAATATCTGGAATGGGCTGAAGACTCTACTTCTATCCTTTATGGACCTTACACATTTTCATAAGCGTTGCACAGACTGCAGGACCTCTACCCTTAACTCCCCAGCCTCTCCCAGCCTTGAAAGACAAAATGTCCACTTCTCTAAACAAGTGCATAGATGTATTCTGTTTAAATATTTAAACAATTTGGCCTAGACTTAGAAAACCATTAACCCAGGTCTGGAGCTTGTAAACCCTTCAAGGACAGAGCCAAGGTTTTATTTAGTTTGGATCCCTAGCACCTAAGCACATAATGGCACATCATAAAGATATATTGAATAAACACCTGCGGAGATGTCAATTCCACAGCTGATGCAAAAGAAGCCCAGCGTTTTCTTTCCACTTAGCTAACTGGCTGCAGCAGTCTTCCTTCCTCAGCTCTGAGTACTTCACTATGGTATTGTTCTTTTCTGGGTGTGAGAAACACAAAAACCAAAGACCTTCTGTTTCAATTTCAGCAGACCTGTATTAGAAAATCCAGAGAAGCCAGGCCTAGAGGGAAAGGATGACCTATCTCATCATTAGGAAGTGGTATTTCTAAAACATTCCCAGAGGCAGCTGGTAGGTAGATGGGTATTAACTTGGTTAAGGAATCATGTTAAAGAAGCAGGCACCAGTTCTGCCTGCCCCAGAGCCATCAATAGGATAAACACTTAACAGCCGTGTCTCGCTCTGTCCTTGGGGGCTCCCTACCACCTAGCTCCCATCTGGGAGTCTTCAATTTATTCTGGAAAACAAATGAAGGACTTGTGTAGCTTGGAGGATACTCATTCAACTTGGAAAGGGGGAAAATGGCCGCACTGGTCCTGGGAGAGGATGGTTCCATCTCACTTGCAGCCCGTGCTGCATAGAGGTGGAAGGTGCCAGGTGCCAGTGCTGCTGTTACCAATGGCAACGGACCATGATCTTTGGAAATTAAACCAGGAGATGAGGCAGAGAAGGAGCGAGAGAATCTTCCTTACTCTCAAGAGAAGGAAAAATAAAAACAAACTGACCACTTGAGGTGGGTGTTCATATTTAATGGAGCTTTGTTTCACTCCAGCAGTACAAGATTGAATTTTTTATTGCCCTGACCCTTGGATCTAAGTTTGTATATCTTCCTCAGTCACTACCATCAACATTTGAGCAATGTATGATGCAGAGTAAAGTTGTTAGGAATTAAGGTCCTATGTTCCAAAATCTGTTTTTTTTTTTTAAACATCCTGAAGTATTTCTCAAAGGTCTCATAATTTCAATGGCCAGCATACTGATATGGTCCTGGGAAAGGATAGATCTCACTCTTATTGTAAGAACCATCTTTCAGAATCTGGCTATCTGCTCCTTTCATATACAATAAATGCCTGGTTATATATGTAAAGCCTGAAGTATGAAAGTCTAGCACTTATACAAATTATAATGAGAAGTCAAAACCTTGTTCTCAAGTGGGATGA